TATAATCTGTACCTCTATAACTGTCTGGTTTGGTTCTGCAACCCAACAAGACAGACACAGACTTCAGAGAGTAATTAGGACTACAGAAAAAACAATTACTACCAACCTGCCTTCAATCGAGGACCTGTATACTGCAAGAGTCAAAAAGAGGGCTGTGAAAATATTTACAGACCCCTCACATCCTGGACATAAACTGTTTCAACTCCTACCCTCAAAATGACGCTATAGAGCACTGCACACCAGGACAACTAGACACAAGAACAGTTTTTTCTAGAACGCCATCACTCTGCTAAACAAATAATTCCCTCAACACTGTCCAACTATTTACAGTCTGCATTACTATTACTATTAATCTTATCACTCTTTATCGCCCAACCCTCCCACTTGTGATTATATGACTATAACTTTGTCGCTTGTATCCTTACAATTTATATTGACTGTTTCCTAGTATGATTTGATTGCTTATTGTACCCATGCCTATTAAGTGTTGTACCTGATGATTCTTGACTCTTGACGAATGTATCTTTTATATACACTGAAAGCATTTGCACCAAGACAAATTCCTTGTGTCTCTAATCACACATGGCCAATGAAGAATTCTATTCTATTCTATTCTATTCTATTCTATTCTATTCTATTCTATTCTATTCTATTCTATTCTATTCTGATCCATGATAATCTAGATGTCTCTAAAGGAACAGGTATGTCATTGAAGCAGAGATTGGCAGCCAGATGGTGAATTTTTGGCCAATGAAGTCTCTCTGCAAAAAAGAGATTATTAAAATAATCCACTACTTCAAAGAACTGCTCCTTGTGAGCAGACTGCAGGAATTTAGGCTTTTTGGTTCATGGGTGAGCAGCTGGGAATTCAAATTGAAATCAAGTTTACAGCCATAACACAGTCTGGACGTAAGGTTCACTTGGCCACATCTCTTAATCACTTTCAGAAATTGTTTAACTCCTTTTCAATTATTAGGAACCTTTAAATTAAGTGACTTAACTGGATGGAGTCTACTTCATATCATATTTGGGGAAGAGAAGTTGCACAGACCTCTATAAGACTGGCCTTATTGTGGAAGCTTCTATATTAGATCCAGGGATAGCCTAAGAATTTAGCCAGTACAGCAAGCATCTAACAGACAGCATGATGATGAAAGAAACTCAGAAGTGTGAGAACCAGTAATTTATAATAGTGAATAATGCTAACATTCTCAGCAGAGTTCATTCAGGCAAGTGAAGTTCAGGATGTTAGCAAATTGGGTCTGCTCAACGTCATACACTGGTGCTTATCATTATTATCATATAGACTCCATTGATCTTACATTTCAAATACTGAACTAAAGCATCATTACATCAGCCTGAGGCACATGCAAAGAGGGTTGGCAAAATTGAATTATCCACTATCAGAAACTTATGAAAACTTTAGAATTCCAGAATATCATCCAAGAAATATATTAGATGTCCTGGCCAATGTTTGGAATGAAGAGCTAAAGAAGATGAGTGACGTAATTACATTTATTATAAATGCACTCCTGTAATCTCCTAAAACCAAGCTCCTTGGACAATGAAAATTGTTAAAAGTAATTTGAATACACCTAGCAAAAGTTATCCTGAATTCAGAACCCCTTGTTACTCAATGAGATGCTAGCAATGAATATATTTTATATAAATTTAATAACAGCTGAATTTTTTGGATGACATATAAGAGCCACTGAAGGGTGATGCAGCAAATGACAATTCTGACTAACCTTTTACTGACTAAAATGTTTACTTTCAGCCTAATCCAGTTTGCACTCTACAGCTAACATATTTATTCAAAATGTGATTATTCAGAGTTTAAAATGACCCCTCTAAAAGGAAAAGAAGGCAGTAAACAATTAACAGATGAAAATCCTGCAGTGCCCAATTTTTTCCCCATCCTTTACCCCAAAAGTGATATACTTGTAAATAAACGAAGCCATGCCCCACCCCAAACAGCAATCAGAACAAAAATATTTTATTGCTCGATTTAATAACTAACTAAAATTAAATTCCTATAAAATAAGGTACTCAATTCACAATATTGATTCCGAAGGCACTTTCCCATTTTTTTCACACACTATTTCACATACAGAAATGCAAGTATGCATAGGCAAATTCTTCTTTGTCCAGTAATAGCATTCAGGAAAAAACAAGGTAGAGAAGCTGGTGAAATTGTGACAATTTCTGAATTAGGAATGAAAAGAGGGAAACAGGCGGACAAAACTGGATGGAGATAAATCAAGGGAAAGAGAAAACTGGTAATGGAAGGAAAAAGAACATCTATTTAGGTTTTATAATAAGTAGGCAGCCAACATCTTCCAAGCAACAACTAATAATATTGAAAGATATTAATAATATTGAAAGGGTGGCTATGTTATAGCCAGTTGTATGTCTTTTTGGTTCCTTTTTGTATTCCTCTATCAGCAAACATAAGGACAAATAAAAAACTATTTTCCTATTAAGAAATAAATAGTAATGGGTTGTGAGAGCTATCCTAAATTTTGAATCCACACATAACGTGACTGGCTACTCCATTAAGTAATACTGCTATGCAAGACTCTTCTTTAAGTAAATAACTATAGTACATTAATGTTGAATATGATTAAATGAAACAATTTTCCTCCACTTTTCAAAGCCACCAGAATAGTGACTTTTTCACTTGAAAACCCCCCAGCAGAAAAGTATTTGTTTTAAAAAATGAAATCCTGGGCTTTGCCCAAGGTATCCTATAGCTATAGACAGCCCATCAAATATTGTTTTAGAAGAATGGCCTCTGAATGCTGATATTCTCAAGTCTGGCAAGAGAATCTGCTGATGGGATACATATGGGATCTTTCAACCTATATGTTAACCTCATTTTTTAATTAAAACAAGTCTTCAATTAACACAACATAGGAGAGTTGTAAGCAGAAGTTAAATTGCTGATTTGTGAGAAATTCATGAAGCTGACAAAAAGAAATGCAACGCCTTTTGAAGCCAATAAAAATCATTGTCTTGACTTAAATGGAAACTAAAGCTTGGGAACATTTCATTAGTCACAATTTTACCAAATTAGAGTCCTTCTTCTAAATACCAGTTCTTCTACTATAAATTACCAGCTCATCTTGGAAATGATTCTTCTGAAGGTGAATACTGAATTAATTATATATTTCCCAAAATAAACATTAAATTTGTGCCCTGTCAGTCAATAAAAAAATATTTTTTTCTTCATTATTTAAGAGTAGCTGGTCTCAACAGCATATCAATCTGCTGAATGTACTAATTTAATGTTAACTTTCTGGTATTACTTAGCAATTTACCACATGCTCCTTAAAGAGGTTATCTTTGGAACCAATCATTTTTGATAACTATCATGTAGTCTGCAACTTTCTCTTTCTGGGTAAGATTGCTGAGAAAGTGATCAACTGGACAATCCTGGAGGAAATAGATTTGGTTAGGTTTTAGGCTGAGATTTAGTACTGGGAAAGTTTTGATCACACTTCCAAATGATCTGTGCCAGAGAAGGGGTGGTGGTGGTGCATTCATCCTTGTGCTCTTTGATCTTTTAACAGTTTGTCACATCATTGACCACAGTATCCTTCTGAGACAGTTCTGTGGGTTGGGAATCAGGGACCATGTTTTACAGTGGTTCTCTTCCTTTTTCCAGGTCTGGTTCTGCTCATATTGATTGGGGGGGGGTCATTTCCCAAGCCTCCTTTGTATGTTTTTAACATTTGTATGAAATTGTTAGGTGATATCACCTGCATGTTGGAGCTTTGGTGTAATCAATATGCCCAGGACTTTGATGAGGATGACTGAAGCCCTCTTAGATTGTCTGGACTTCTTGATTCTTGGTTTTATCATATTTGCCATTTGTACCTTTCATTTTTGTTTTGTTTTTAATGTTTAAAACACTTTCTAAATCAACCAAAGTCACTAAGAGGCAGGCAGTATATTAATATTACCTATGTTTTCCCCAAAACAAGACCCAATCTTATTTTCTTTTGAGCCCCAAAATAAGTTCTAGGGCTTATTTGGGGGAAACATGATTTCAGGGTAATCAGCCCGGCTGGGCACTCCACCTGCAGTGCACAAACAAAAGCTGGAAAGCACGCGGGGACTGATGGCATCCGGCAGCAGCTGCAGCCTGCCAATCCCTTAGCTGGTACACTCTGGGCTGTGCAGAGCCGAAGGCACTGAGCGGAAGGCAGGAAATCCCAATGCTCAGAGCGAAAGGCAGGTGATCCCAACACACTGCACAGGCTGCAGGTAAGCTGAGAGATGCGAAGATGATCATCCTGTGGCTGTCTGCCACTCCATCTCAGCACTGCTCAGCTTTCCACAGCCCGCAGGCGTGTCCAGATCACCTGCACCTCTGCTTCCACCTGATGCTTGCACAAGTACTCAACTCACCTGTACTGTGTGGGCTGTGGCTGCCGCTAGACACCATCGGCCCACGCATGCTCACCTCCTATGCTAACCATGCCCACCCCCTTCACTAGGGCTTATTTTAGGGGCAGGGTTTATATTAGATGCCAGCGTGTAAATCAGGCTAAGGCTTATTTTCGGGGTAGGTCCTATTTTGGGGGGTAAATCATGGTACTAGTAATAATAATTAAATGGTGGAAACATTAAAGCAATTAATACCTGGGAAATCATTGTTGTTCAATATGCAGCAGGAATAACTGATTGAACCCACATGTGACTTGGTAACTTGAATTGGAAGATAAGAAAACAAATAACTCACTATGCTTTGCACCTAAAATGTTATACTGATAGACTGTATTTGCTAAAGGTTGAAGAAAGCAGAGGACTTAATAGGTTTTAATGAAAATTGCATTTTTTGTACAAAATCATAACTACCTCTCTGATTCCATGAGTTCATAACAAGAAACAGATAACAGTGTTACTGAAAGAAACTAGCTTTTATCAATTAAAACCTACTCTAATTTGAGGGAGATAGTCTTACAAGCAGATATAAAAGCTACACTATAGAATACCTTTATATTTCTGGTGGTTTCACTATATAGTACTGTTGGCAACAATGAATCAGTTGGCACTGTAACACAGGAAGTATTTATGAGGAGACACACTGTTGAGCTGGTAACGTCAATTGCTTCCCATCTAACATTTTAAGACATATGGCCCTCTGCAACCACTTCACGCCTAAGGAAGAATCAAATGAGAAGTAGTTATAGCCATGATTATATCCAAAGAGCAAGTGAGTATATATCACCAAGTTATTCCTAAGTAATGTATAGACATATTCTTGTCACAAACACTTATCCAAGAAAGTTATTTATATTACTACAAAAATGTTTTACGATATAATAAAGCACAATCAGATATATGTTTAATAAACAACAATGCTACTATAGAGTTTGGTCAAACTAGCATTCTGAATGTGTTGTTAAGGCAAACAAGAAGCAATTTTCACAGAACATAGGATAAATTAAATGGAACAATACAAATGCAATAAGCTAGAAAATCAAGAGTAAAATAGTCCAGCTGAAAAAGAAAACAAAAAAGTGATGTAGTGGTTTCAATAAGAGAGTGTACACAAGGAAAAATGAATTACGCTTCACTTTAAAAATATGTGTTCATTGATTTCATCTATAATGCAACAATGCAGAGATGGTCATTCACAAAGTCCACAATTCTCTGGCAATTGCTTTATGGGGACATATAAAGCATGATAATTTATTGGGTGTAGCAATGAAAACTTCAAAATTGCTATGTGTATCAAGGCAAATAGAAATTCCAAAATAATTCAGCTGTATCTTTGGCTGTTTTATGAGTGAGCATATATGGTTAATAAACCTCAGAAGTTTATTCAAAAGTTACAATATTCTTAGGGTGTGCTATGAATCAGGAATCACATAAAACCATACTGTAGTTTATCTTAGCAATGTTATATGAACACAGGCATTATGATTAATGGTTTAAGCTCTGATCACACAACATACTCGAACTGAACTGAAATCTCCCAAGAGTGGAAATGAGGAGCTATAACTCATTAAATGTTGGAAGTACACCAACTCCCAATGTCAATCATCACTAGTCATCCTGACAGTTACTGCTGGCTATTAGTGCAGAATAGCCAGAGGGTGAAAAGGTATTCCATTCTTATATACATTATTTAAGTAAATTTCACCCATCATAAATAACCTGACTAACATGATCCTGACAATATGTATTAAAACAATCTAATTTTGCCTGTGTTGTATATTTAACAAGTGAATTGTGTTAAATCCCATAGTTTCAGCAAAACAGGCAATAGTAATCATATCAAGCTATTAGTATTGTCTCCCACTTCTTCCACATAATGTTGAAATGCAATCATGCAAAGGGGCTTGAAACTTTGTTCATCAGCAGGATGCTCTCCAAAACAGAATAGGGTCAAGTGTGATATGGCAGAAGTAGTTGGCAAAACAAATTTCCAGTTAAAAAATGGGACAGATCCATTTGAAGATTGCAAGAAAAACATTCCAGGAAAAAAAAAATACTTCCCTATGGAAACAATTAAACAACAGCTTTGAATACTACCCACTGTATCATTCTTAAACTTACCCTTTCCTATCACATAACTTAAAGGGATGCTGCTATTAAGGAATTGGAAAGAATTCTGCATACTTTTTCTGCTCTGTTGTTTCATGACCTTGTGTTCTATACTTTGTTATAATCACTCTCCTTCCTCTCCAAGAATAGAAAATATCATGGACCCAGAATTTACTCTTGAAATACATTTCTTATTTATACTTTTCTTACAACATTTTCTGTAGTTTGATATTAGATTCCAACTACTTCTCCTTAATTTATAATTTTTCTGTTTCATTAATTGCATTAGAGCCCAATTAATTTAACATTTCAATGTCAGAGAATGAAACAGACGGTCTCTCTAATGGGGATACTGATTACAATTGCCTTTTCTGTCAGATTTCAACCACTTATTTTATAGCATTTTTTTCTTTCTAGTGCTTTTCCTGCAAGTGCAGTCTGCTTTTTATGTATCAATAACTTAGGAACAAAGTCTACAACTGGGAAAGTGACAGAAGACTATGTTTAGGCCTTCATTATGGCCATCTAATCAAAAAGCAGGGCCTAAATCAGGGTGTCCAACCTTTTGGCCTGCCTGAGCTATACTAAGTGAAGATAAATTGGCTTGGCCTGCATACAAAATATGTAACACAGTTAATACATATCAATCACAGAATAAAATTAACTTTACAAACTTGTGGGGCCGCATTACTACCTGTTGAGGGCCACATGCAGCCTGTGGGTCATGGGTTAGACACACCTGTCTCAAATAGAAAGTGATCAATGGCCTATAATAATTTTTTGTGTGAATACAAACATATCAGATTTTCTAATTCTGTTTTTAAACCATTAGCAAAAATCCTATCAACCTCTTTTCCAAACCTACTCATACTTTGATAGTGTCTAACACAACAATGAAGAACTTCAAACATCTCTTGGGTGACACCCCTTCATACAGTTCAAGGTGTCCACCTGTTGTTCATTTGTTCACCTAAGCTGAATAAAACTAGCTCCCTAGTTTCAATCACTTCATATAGCATTGTTAAAACATTTTCAAATAGTACTAATGTTTTCACCTCCAAATTCAACACCTGAATTTTCATATTATCAAAATATTAAATTGAGCAAATGCTTGTCATTAGCTTGGCTCACAATATTCCAACACCTATCAGGATTCTGATTGGCTGACCAAGAAAAAGACATTTGAAGCATCCAAGTGGCTTCTGCACACGTCAAAAGACAACCTAGTGATATTTTTCAGGAGTGATTAACTTATGACCTACCAAATATTAAAGACAACTCTCAGCATTTCTCAATATCAACAATGCTGTCCAGAACTGAGGATTTTAACTCAAATATGTAGACCACAGCCTTCCTATACCTCCTTGTCAATATTTATAATGGCATAAAACTTGGTGGACTACAGTTGCAATAAGTTATGCACAATAAAAGTATTGAAATATCACCTCTTTCAACATGACTGTTAAGTGTAATTAAACCCAATGTCATTAATCCATGTGGGTGAGATCATGCTAATTATTTCTGGCAACTCCTTGATAATTACAAATTCAAATATTTCACTTACAGATGATCACATCTGCACTTGTTTTCCACTCCCTACAAATAACATTTTAACCTTCGTATGTTTGGTGCATGACAAAATGAAATTTCTGCAGTCCAAATAGTTACTTGTAATTCACCAAATTCCACACAACCTGTTATGTGTATTAGAATACTATGTAGTTTAGTACCATTATCTTCATTCTCAGGCCAGGCCCTTTTGTTTGATACCCTTTCTATTCTTCCTCATCTGCACTCTACTAAAAGCAAATAAACTTCCTAATGTTTAGTTCTTTTATTACACTTAACCAATGTACAGCCATAGATGTATTCAAATAAGAAATCAAATGGGCCAAATACTGGTATTTAAACATACAATAATTCAACTGTCAGCATCTATGAAAACTTTTTTATTCATTGGATTTGCAGGCCACACAATTCTATAATGACTTGGGGTAGCTTCTATTTTCAAACTGAAAAATAATGAAAAGAAACCAGAGCTTTTGCATAACAATATCCCACACAGCCACTCCACAACCACTCTGCTCAAAGGGTGCTCAAAGTGGACTCCAGTGGAAGTTTATGATTGCAAACCCACTGACTTTAACGAGATTTACTTCTTAAAATTTGCTTCACAGGAGCAATGACATATTATTTACATTTTTAATCTGTCAATCACTGAAGAACTGAGAACAGAAAGAAATAATACTCTTCAAAATGAAGAACTGCTGTTAATAAAGGTAAATAACAATGTCCTGTATATTCCTAACATATGTAAGGTTAAATTAACAGTTTTTAACGGTGTTACTCCTTTTTCATGAAGTTGTCCAAATAATTATTTACCTGCAAAGTGGATAGAAAATATTTCTTCATGATCTGATATTGGCTCACTTTATTGAAAAGTGAACAGTGTATTTGTATATCTCTCACATAAGATTAAATGCATAATTTGGACAACTTCATGAAAACTTACTAACCCATATAAAACAACTGCACATACTCTAAGAAGTGTAAGAAATTAGAAAAAGAATAACAAAACTCTCATCTGGAAAACCAGTTTCACTTGGACACCGACTTCGATTATACTGGCATGAAAAACATAAAAAGAAATGCACCAAAAAAAAAAGCGGACACTTTCCGGTCTTATGACTCAGCCTCGATTTCTGAGGCAAAAGAGATCTAAATCTATACCGACACCTTTCTATTAAAAAAAACCCGAAAAGGAAAGGAAAGAAATACTTAACAAGAAGCCATGAAATCTGATGCTTCTCTGGCCAAGTTCTCCTCAGTTAAACCTGTTCAGCATGACGTTAACTTCCTCCCACAAAATGTGACTCCGGGCGGCAAGACACACAACAGAAAAGCAGAGAGAAGCGACTTCAGCACACCCCACTTTATATCGCCTTTACTATTCCTTCTGCCCCAATATAAACACCCGCCGCGACTCGCACCCGCCCACCGACCTTGCCTGCATGCATGGCATCCCACCCATTTTGTCCGCAGAGAATCGCTTCTCGGGGGACGGCGAGGGGGAGAAGGCCGGCGGCCGTTCACCTTCCCCTCCTTCAAACTCCCATTTTAAGGATTTCGGGCCCCGGGAGTGGGGAATTTCTTCCCGCCTCCCTCGCCAGAGAATTCGCATTCGCGCCGATTCACCCCTTCTCCAAGCAGGGGCTGCAACTATCCCACTCGCACCCGGAAGGTCGGTTACACAACCTGGGAACGGGCGAGAGGAGAGCCCGGCGAGACCTCGAGGCGGCCTCGGTTTCCCCCCTCAACCTCTTCCTCAACCGTAGTCATGGCGGGGAGACGCTCGCCGCCGCCCCGCTCCCCCCCAGGCCCAACTCCCGGCCTCCCCGCGGCTGTACCCGCAAAGGAAGAGCTGCTGTTGCTGTCTCAGGAAAAGCCGGCGCGCTGAAGGAAGCGGCCGCAGGGAGGCTCGGAGAGCAATAAGCCGGGACAGTCGCTGCCGCATTTCTGGGCCCTGCCCGCTGCCCCCGAGCCGGCCTACTTCCCCGGCCGGCCCCTCCCTTCACAGAAAACAGCGCCTAAGCCAGTTCTCCGGCCAGCGGCGGCGCCATTTTGCGCTCCCCGACGGAGGCCTGGAGGCGCTCGGAGGATCCTACCTGACTCCGAGAACCGCTCCGCCCGCGGGGAGGAAAAGAGTAGCCGGCTTCGGGGAGAGCGGCGTGCGGTGACGGCAGGAGCAACGACGAGAGGCGGCTTGCAGCCAAAGGGGTGCCCGCTGGCAACGTCCGGCCAGCGCCTGTTGCGGTGGCTGCAGTTCAGGAGCAAAGGGCCTCTGGAATGTACCCTTCCTCTGGGGAGCGTGTTTGTGTATGCGCGCACGTATGTGTGTATGTGTGCAAGAGGGAGAAACAGCGCGCGATCCAAAGACTGTTACGAAGAAAGCTGCCCTTTGCACACCTTAAGTCCGAGTCACTTGATTTACTTCCGAGTAAAGCTATACACGCAAACACTAAGCCACCCTGGCACCTTGTGCCCGCGAAACACAAAAGGCCAGGCCCAGACGACCAAGTTGCACCCGCGGAACTACTAAAGGCGCAGCTAATCTTAGAAACGGGCCCCGTGGACCCCCCGGCTCGATTGAGTGTTAGCAGCTCGAGGGCCCCGATTCCAATTCAAGCTGCACGTTCCCTTAATTTGGAAGAGGATTAGCTCTACGGAGTCCTAACAGCCGGAGGTAGAAGAGCTCAATAGCTTAGTATGATTTCCCACCCGTTTTTCTCCTGAGCTGTGGCACTACTGATGAAGATGGGGAGGGACTCAATTCAACCCATCTAGTGGGTTTCAGATGGGAGTCTGTTAATTAACTGGTGTAATTTTGGAGTGTTTGGGGATTTTTTTTGGAGCTGCTACTTCCAGGCCTCTTGATGCCTTCTTAAGCAAGGTTAACTATCTCAGTGAGTTTGAGCTGTTTAATTACACAGGGCTGATGTAATAAATGATAAGGGACGGTTCCTGGAAAATGAAATAAATGAAATGTAATAACTTAAAACATTGGATGAGCCCTGGTACTGAGTATAAACTTCATAGGTTTGCAATTTCACATGGATTACCACCAAATGTTTGGCTTGGAAATTTGCACAGCCAGCCTGAAAATTAAGAGATGAGGTAAAGTTTCATGTTGACTTTTGTAGAAAACTAATGAAAACAATTACATACGTAAGTGTATATTGTTTTCAATGTATACTGGTAGTCATAAAATGAGAACTGGAGTGAATCAAACACACAATTCATTAAACAATGTTTCCAAAACATGTCAGACCCTTTGTCTCTAGAATCTGGTCCTGAATTGCAGTTTGTTTTTTATAGAATTTGATTTTTGAGGATAGATTCAGTCTAAGCCCAAGCAACTGAATGTACAGACGTTTCATGAAGAACTAACGATGTTTCCACAAGACAATCTGTGGAAGAATCCAGAATCCTACAAAAGCAATAGAAAGGTTTTTAACACAGACTTTTTAAACTTTATGCAAGACATTAAGAATTATGTTATTAATGAATTGAAGCTGATGAACACAGGTGATTCAAGAAATTGTAGGTTATAAAGTTGAGGTCTGCAGGGAACATCTCAGAAGCCTTGGAATATTTTGGATCTTTGCTTCCTCAAAAAAGAAATTTTCTCCATAAAGAAAGCACTATCCATCCTTCTTTGAGCTGGCACTGATTAATTCCAGAGTAAAACTGATTGTACCCACAGCTAATCTCTATTTTGCTTCCAGTAATGGGAAATAAACCCAGGGGAAAAGAGTAGGCCAGAAATAGTCTGAAAGAGGAGAGAGGCAGTCTCTCCTATGATTATGCAACTGGCAAAATCCTGGAGAAAAGAAAACTGAAGCTGAGCAGCTGCTGCGCTCCTTCATAGAGCAGGAGAGAAGTGATAGAGACTGACCTTCCTAATTTTGTAAACACTGCAGTGAGAACTAACAAGGTTGCTTTCTCTCAAAATAAGGATCTGCAATAATACCATGTTAGAATACAGTACTCTTAATATGGGATGGTACTAATATTCTTTTCCCTCCCCATACAAAATATTATTTATAATAACAGATACCAGCTCTCATCACTACCTTTCTGGAGCCTGGAGAAAAGTTGATGCCCAAAATAGGAGCAAGATGACCAGTTGAAAAGGAATTCAGAAGCCAAAAATACAAATATAGGAAGAGAAATAGCTCTAATCGAGGTTGGCTAGAGATCAGAAGGGAGAGGGGTTCTCTATGTTTCAGCTCTGATGATACATGAGAATTCATGTAATCAAGAGGATAAAAGTTTCAGGGCATGTTATCACAACCAACTGCAAATATTGTGGGAACAGAGTGAGAAAGGAATGTACCGTAGAGACAGAAACCTAACTCTAGCAGCAAACAGCAACCTTAGCCACCCAATCCCAAAGCTCCATTAGTAGAAACTGGAAATATACTTTTCTGAGATGTAATAAAAGGCTTGGATGTATACAAACCTTACTTCTACCACTCTTCTAAAGTCATTCAGGAACTAGGAACAATGTATACCACCGGTATATCAGACTCTTATGTTATGATGTCACTCCCATTGCAACAAATGGGAAAGAACTTCTATAAGGAAAAAATATACACTGAATATACAGTATTTTATGTGCAGTATTTTGTGGTTTCCTGGTTACTAATTCTTTAAGGTATGCCAGCTCAAGGTATCTGATTGAGAAGTAAGATAACTGTGGTTTATAATCTACAATAGCTGGTGTCATACAACATGCTAAGCAAATATTTAAAAGCCATTTTAAGATTTAGTGCAATATGTGAATTCAGCAATGTACAATAGATACCAGATACTGGTGCCCTCATCAAAAGTTTGCACAATGACTATTTTTAAACAATAAAAACTTATTCCCACATATTTTGTTTCCACAATAAATAATAGCAAAGTCCCAGAGCATTAACTTTTGTATTTTCTTTTAATTTTCTATTACTTCATTTCATTCTTCATTTCTATCACTTCATTCATACTCCACCAGCTCTTGCCTGGAGGCAAGTATTACTTCATGCAGTGCACCATTTTGCTATTTGTGATACCATTGTTTGTAATCAGTCTGAGATTTTCTTGCAGCAGTTAACTAGGTGGTGTACTATTTCTTCTTTGCAGAGATGACATTTGTTTTCAATTGCCATCTTATCAATTCTCAATTCAATTCTAAATTTTCAATTATTTATTTTAGATGTATTAGATTCAAAATTGTTTTGCTTTGTACTTAATAAGAGTATATTTTTCATATTAGAATTGAATTCAATTTTAATATGAAAAATATGCTCTTATTAAGTGCAAAGCAAAACAATTTTGAATCTAGTATGGTTAAAGACTGAATTCTGGGAGAGATAGACTATTTTAGAGGATACTGCATCAGATTGGGGAACTATTTCTTAGCTGAAATGCAGTGAATCAGCTGTGCCTGGGTATTTTATCAACTTTCTTCTCTATAAGGGCAGCCATTTGCTAATTGTGTGCTGGAATGTCTCACTTTATGTGTAATATATTGTGCTTATATACTTGCACCTGAAGAGGTTGTGATCTGAGTGGCAATTCTGATTTAGTGCCATTGGGTTAGAAAGCTAATCAAATTATTGGTACCTATTTATTCAGCTTCTTCTCAATAGTTTGCAGAGTTTCCTCTGGAGTTTAGAGGTGAGCATTTTTCCATAGGTAGAAATTGCTTGCTCTTGGACCTCTCTCTCCTTTACGCAGACAAGACCTTTCCATCATTTCCCTATCCTTTCCAGTTACTCTGATGGGGAACTTTACTGTTCCCCTGCACAATGCCTATTTGAGATTTTCTACCCTGTTTTTTTCTCTTCCAGAGAAAGGAATCTAAAAAAATTGTGGAAAGAGCACCAACTGGCTTCCATTTTTATGTGGACTCATTGGCTAGAAAGAGGTGGCCAGCTTCGCAAGAGAAGTACATTAATTTGAATACCACTTTGCCAATAGTAGGGTGACGCCCATCACAGTGGCTCCAAAGATGTGCCTTTAGTTATTTCAAAGTAAATTAATTACAACTGTATAATATAAGTAGAAATGGTTACTGAATGTTTACTTTGTCTTTTAAGCAGTGCATCCCTTAATTTCTATGCTTGTATAATTAGCTTATGTAACATGAGCGCTACATCGAGTTGATTGAATTTTAACAGGTAACATGCAAGCCATCAATGAAAAACAAGACATACCTTAAAGATAACAATTAGTATTTAAGTAGGGCAACAGTTTGGATAGGTGCTGTGTGGGCAGAGGGTTCAACATTGCTGAAAATATAATAATTGGGTACAATATTTTAATCACTAAAAAATTATTGGTGAAACACACACTCCCGGATGCACTGCTTCCTAAGTTATTATAGAACAGGCATAACCCACACCCTGCAAGATACACAAAACTTCCTCTGACCCATTTCATAAGTCCTCAGAATCCTGTCTTATGGCCATATGTGGTAATAAAATGGCAAGGAGAGGCTCAAAGTAATAAAGTGCATCTTAGGTAAAACAAATTAACAATCCTTATCCTGTAGCATATGTTATTACAAATGCTCTTTTGCTTTTTTAAAATAAAAATAATCCTATTAATAATATTCCTCTGTTTTCTACCAATGTGAGTTGTAACTATTTGCAATTAAATCTTTAACAATGTGTTCCATAAGGTCATCTTAAGGGACGGAAGGGAACTGGGATTTCTAGAAGATTGAATATTGCCTCAGGATCTGTTTTCCTTCCTGCAGTTCAATTTTGTTAAATGTACATAGATTTGTTTTTTCTATAAAGAATGCTAATTTGCCTTCATACAAATAATAGGAAAATGTTTCTTCCTTCCACTGTGAAAGCAAATACTGAAAAATAAGCAAGGGGGTGGGCTTTAATAGTTCAAAATGCAAAAATCCCAGTGTAAAATAAATAAAAAGAACATGTGCACAAAACTGAAAGATATGAGGAAATGATAGAGGAGGGTTATGCAACAGCCATCACTGGTGTTATCAACATCACACCCTCCAAAAGTGAAGGTAGCGAAGAGCTATAGAACATCTACTGCACACTTTTTAAAATTTAATTTTATTGGACACTCTGGATATCTTCATTTTTTTGCTTCCACTGAAAATAATTGGGAATTATCTTTTAATTATAAAAGCACATATTAAAGACTCCAAAGAAAACAAATAGGGCTGTTGACTGCCAAACCATGTTCTGTCTAATGT